TCAAAACAGAATTCTAATAAAACTATCTGACTGAGAAAGACCCATGATTCATTCATAGAAAAAAGACTACTTCTTGGAGGCATAGATAACTTGCTTAGGTAGAATTTTCACAGAGAAGTATGTGAACAGCTAATTCAGATATGAAAATATGCCCAGCACCACTCTTCGTTAGAAAATGAAAACAAATGACAGTAAGAAGTCAACGGAGAGCTGTCAATGTACATAAGCAATCTGTCAACCACAGACTGTCTTTTTAAAATTTTCTCAGAACAGACTCATTGTACCAAGAGTATAAAGGACCTAGAAATAATATTGTGTAACATTTTAAATAATTTGTCTGAAAATATTCATGGCTTCATCTAATTTAGTGGGTAAGAGTACTCAAGCTGTAGTTAGCAAGAGAGCCAGTAGTCATGTCCACTACATTAACCTAAACCTAGAAAATGCTCAAATAAGATAATTTGATCCATAGGTCTTTACATTTTCAAAATAAATATAAATATAACAGAAAAATAGTAGAGAGTTTGTTCAAACAACAATGAAGAGAATTTATCTTTTCTATACAATTATTTTTTGTCTGAAGCAAATTAAAATCTGGGGCAAGTGCTACAATGAATAACTAAGTATCCAATATGTTGAGTCCATGATAAGCAAGTATGAGTGACAGGAACTCAGAAACCTCCCAATGTAACCACAGTCCTGAAATTGACATGGCCTGTAATCTGCAGGGTGTTAGAATCCTGCACACATTATGACCTCAAAGCTGAAGAGATGTCAGAAACTTAGACCACTGGCCTCAATTCTAGTCCTGAATCATGGTTTTCATATTAACAAGATATTGATATGAGAATTGTGATTTTCAAAGATTTAATTTTCTTTATTAACAAATAGTCATAGGTCATTAGTGAGGTACTGAAGGAAGCTCATACTTTTTTTGTATCTACAATTTGAATTTCTAAGAAAAAAAAGTTAATTTAATAACATGGTCCAAAATAAAATTTAAACAAAATTTATATAACAATGAGCAACTGAGTCATTGCATGAGTGTTAGCTTTCTTCTCACTACTGGATGGCTTGGGTCAGTTTTTTTGTCACATAGCTAGTTCTGTTTTAGTTATTATTTATATTTTAAAAATTGTTTTTGTTTTTTTAGAATGATCTTTTCTAACTCAGGCTGTCCTTGGATTGAGTATGTAACCAAAGATGGATTCAGACTCCCAATTCTCCTGACTTTGTCTCCCAAGTGGCTGGGGTTCCAGCTGGACACAACTTCCTGAACTTTAGTGTCAATTGAAGTTTAATTGTATTCCAGTCAGAAGTTAATTGCTTTTCACACTTGAATAACTTAAATAGAAACATAAGATAGAGTTATTAGTATGTGTATTAGTTTTATGTATTGTTGAGAAAAGCATTTTGGTTTGGTAGTTCATTTGAGTTAAGAAGAGAAAAGGGAAAGAGGGAAGTTCATGATAGTTCATTCTCTAAACTCTATAAAAATTATAATCTAAAGATCATGGAAAAGTAAAGATCATCTATATTTAAACCTAATATGGAGATGATAAAATGAAAAGCAGAAGTAAATAGGAATTTTGACCTGCTTAGTACAGTGTGAGAAGGTACCTAGATAATTTTCCTCATTATACCTAGTTGTGTCCCATGGGCCTTGTGGCAGCAGGTTTGAAGTACATGCCTGGATACTTATTAGAGGGTCATGTCCATGATCTACCAGAGCTACCATCACACACATGAATTTGACCTGGCAGAAAGTGAAAATGCACTGGTCCTTTTGTTGGTAAAACACTAGGACCAGGTAAGATAATAAGAGCCTTATGACATAGCTCATGGAATAGACTGTAGAGGTATAACTAGAATGTGGGCTAAAGCAAAGGAAAGATACTTTCTGAATCTAAACATGAAAAGGAAAGTGGGGAGGGATTGCTTACAGCAGAAGGAGCACAGATCAGGGGTGCCTCAGCAGAAAGGTGGTAGACATGTTTCCTTCTAGGAGACAACATGAAAGCCAGGGAGAATAGACAGAATTATTTTGATTCAATGAAGTCCTAAAAGTGACACTCATTATGGATTTTATTTCTTCCTCACTTTTCATTTAGCTTTGAAATTGTGGCCATTGTGTATCTCTCCTCTCTTTGTCAGGAAATAAGCTCTCCAGCAGATTTGGCTTGACATCAGCTCTAGTCTTGAGAAAAGATAAATACATGTATTTGATGCTATGGCTTTATGAGTCTAACTCCCTTACCCTCGATTAGACATAATTCACTTTATTGCAAATTAGTGGGCTATCTTCCCCATAGATTGGATTTTTTGATGCTGACTGAGACTGAGATCTGGTTTCATATTTTCTTTCATTATTACCTGTTATTTTATTTTTGTAACAGTTTGATAATAATACTTATCAATATTGCTACTTCGTATGTAATATATACATATTATTTGTCTATATATATCGTTTTTATTGTCTTTTACTTTAGTTTTTTGGATGAGTTCTTTTAAAGTTCACTTATATTGGCTTTATTGCTGATAAATTTATTTTAACTTTTTACTTATTGTTCATTTTGATTTTTATGTAATAATTTCCTGTTTTTATATTAACACCTAGAATAATTAATATTTCTTTTCTAATAAATGTATAGTGCTTAGGCTATAATCTGCACTTAAATGCTGATATGTAATTTTCTTACCCTTATTCTCTTTAAGCTATCATTTTCCTAAATCACTTACTTTTTCTTGTAAGTATAAAATACTAATTAATAATAGTAGTTGTTGTTGCTTTGGGGGCATTCCATCTTATTCTAATATGCGAGCATTATCCTGAGAAAACAATAGATTGTAATTATTTGTAAGATAGTTTAATATTTCATGTTAGATTGTATGAATAAGAGATATTGTATTTAGGGAAAGCTGAGATAGATCTAGAAAGAAATATTAAAGTTTGAATAAAGTCATTTTGATAATTGATTGGAAATAGTGTCAGTTAAATGAATAAGATGCAACAGTAAAATTTCTGTGAAAACAACAATATATGATTATATCACATATATATTATATTTATGTGGTGATGAAAGTAACAGAGGGAAGTTATGGAGTATGACAGAGTGATGGAGTCCATAACATATTAGTATTTCTTCTACCTACAAGAAGCCACACACATTTTACTCAAATAACTTTTATTTTCATGTTTAGATTCAGGCAACCAGAATTGGAATTTCAATATTTACTTGAAAATTGTCATTCTATAGAAGAAACAGACGTCATGAAGGTAGGCAGGGCCCTTTTCAGAAACGTCTTGACAGTAGGCAGAGGACTGATATCAGAAAGGTAAAGCTGCAGAATATATTTACAGAAAGAAAGGATTCTACCATCTGGAAATACCTAATAGAGACTAGTTTCCCGAGAGGATGGGGATGGAAATTTTCTTGGAATAATCATCAGCAACATACACTAAGAATTTGATGGTCACTAAAATGAGCCACTGGATTTATGATCTGCTGTAGAAAGTGTATTCTGGATAGCTTGGCACACAAGGGAGCATTAATACTAAGCTCACTTTCCAGAAAAACTAGAGTGGCACATGTACACAACTTACCTAGAATGATATTTGACACATAGCCATCTACACCTAAGGAACCATATTGATTATAGTGTGTCTCTGGAAAAGTACTGATTTGAAAGGTGTTCTTCAGGAGCTGAATCCTGGATGGTAGACAGACTCCTCTCATGCATTTCTGACTTCTATAGAGTGGGAGCATTAGGATCAGATATAAAGTCCAGATATTCTGTTGTCTAACTGTATAATTTTAGGATACATACTTAGTCCCACCTGTATATGTATAAGAGAAAGAGAGGGAGAGAGATTTTACTTCCTTGAACAATTGTGATAATTGGATGGATGCAGATAAGTGAACAATTGGATCATACTGTATACGTTCTGAGTATAACTCTGATCTGGATTTCAGTAGCACCCATGCCATTATTTGTTATAAGACAGACTTTAATTTATTGTGTTAAAAATAAGGACAAGGATTTCTTCTTCTTTCTTTCCACTCTTCATCCCTTCCCTTCCTTCCTTCCCCACTTCCCTTGCTCTTTCTTCTCTTTTTACATTTTTGCTTTATTTTCTCCTTCCTTCCTTCCTCTCTTTCTTTCTTCCTCTCTTTCTTCTTCTCTTTCTTCCTCTCTTTCTTCCTCTCTTTCTTTCTTTCTTCCTTCCTTCCTTCTTTTCTTTCTTTCTTTCTTTTTCTTTCTTTCTTTCTTTTTTCTCAAATTGATGTTTTCTCTCAAGGGTCAAACAGTGAGTTTTCAAGGTAATAGGACAATTACTTTAATGATTAAATTATTGAGATATAATTGTTCCATATGCAAACTGCATATGCTACTATCTAAACCCTAGAATTGGAGCATGGATAAAATTATACACATAGAACATGTAAAATATGAAGAACACAGAGAACTGTATAAAATGTACTTGACATCAATTTTTCTTGAACTATCCTGCAGTCACATAGGCAGACTTGTATATCTCAGAGACACTCTGACATTCTTCTGAATATTTATCAAGCCTGTCTTATGGTTACATTTTAAAAAAGAGAGTTAGTTTGCTCAGTGTCATGTTCTAGACTCAAGAACTTATTTTAAAAACTACTGGAAATTGGATTTTCCCAGTATATCATTTTGGTATTTACTGGGAAGTTATATAGATAAGAATAATTTTTCTTGTCACTTTTTGTCACAAATCAAGAGAAGACTGGCTTGGAATATTTAAAAAACTTGTTTTGGAACAATCTGGTAAATTTGTTTTCTCAAAAAATGTGGAACACTAAGAAGCTAGAAGAGAAGCCTACATTTCTAGTATATCAACAAATAGTTTAAAAAATTAAGAATTATCAGTATTGATTAAGTGCTAGACAGATGTTTATAGAATAATCTATATATGCATTGTTATATTCAATTATCTAATTTTCCTTCTTTTCCCAGACTTCACTATGCTCATCCTTAATGATACCAGTTCCCAGCTTCCGACCTTCCTTCTCACTGGTATCCCTGGCTTGAGAGCAGCTCAGGTCTGGATCTCCATTCCCTTTTGTCTCCTTTATGTAATTGCCCTCTCTGGGAACAGCATGATCCTGCTGGTAATCCTTCGTGAACAGAGCCTCCATGAGCCTATGTACTATTTCCTCTCTATGCTTTCAGTCACAGACCTGAGCTTGTCTCTCTGCACACTTTCCACTACCCTTGGTGTCCTCTGGTTTGAAGCCAGAGAGATCAACTTAAATGCATGCATTGCCCAGATGTTCTTTCTCCATGGATTTACTTTCATGGAATCTGGAGTTCTGCTGGCCATGGCCTTTGATCGTTTTGTGGCCATCTGTGATCCACTGAGATATACCACTATTCTTACCAATGCCAGGATTGCCCAAATTGGCATAATTGTACTGATAAGGAATGTTGCAGTCATGTTGCCAGTTGTGCTCTTTGTCAAGAGGTTGTCCTTCTGCAGTTCTCTGGTTCTTTCACATTCATACTGCTACCATGTAGATCTCATCCAGCTCTCATGTACAGACAACAGAATCAATAGCATTCTTGGTCTGTTTGCACTATTTTCTACTACAGGGTTTGACTGCCCTTGCATCTTGCTGTCCTATGTACTGATCATCCGATCTGTCCTCAGCATTGCTTCCCCTGATGAGCGACAGAAAGCCTTCAATACATGCATATCCCACATCAGTGCTGTTGGCATCTTCTACATTCCTCTCATCAGCTTGTCTCTTGTTCACCGCTACGGCCATTCAGCACCCGCCTTTGTTCACACAATAATGGCCAACGTCTTCCTGCTCATCCCTCCTGTGCTCAACCCTATAATCTACAGTGTGAAGACAAAGCAGATTAGAAAGGCTATTATCAAGGTTTTAAATCAGAAGCAGAACCATCTTTAATAATGATTTCAGTAGAAAGGAACATTTATAAATAAATGATTTTATGGAATAGGGTAATTTTAAAACATCAAATAAACTTTTAAGATGTCACATCATGGAACTTCTAGGTTGTATGATACTTGCTTTTTAAGTTTCTCTATCAGTAAGTTCATATTAATGACATTTAAATTATTAATTCATTTTCAATACAATATGAGCTGCTTAGATGAATAAATAATTGTTCATAGTTCTAGCTGGTGCTATTAATCAGTAGAAAGTAATTATTCAGACTCTATTCAATTAAAAAGTTTGAATTTAATATGAGAAATCATAGATGAGTCAGCTGTTGTATTTTTAATGAAACAGAAAAATATTTTAATCAGTTGTAAGTGTTTTATCCAAAACCTTTTATTCTCTGACTGCTTCCTAAATTGTTTTTTGGTTAAATACTAAAATACATGTCAGCAATTTGACTTTAAATCTTGTATCAGTCAATCTGCCTTGTCTTTTATTATATGCTAAAGAAAATACAGATAAAGATAAAATTGAGTTTTCGAAGTTGATAATTGTATCAATCCAAGTTGTATGCTTAAACAGCTGATGAATAATCACAGTAGATCTCAAAAGATCACTAGGCTCCTCATTATTAAATAAATATCAAACAAACAGGACTCTATTAATCATCTTATTTCAACAATTTTATAACAAAAGATGATGATTTATTTAGGTGCTTATTATAATGAGAAATTACATCTATGTGCAATTGTCATCAAAGAATCCAGATGTTCATTTGTCCAAGATTTAACTGTATTTATATATGAACGTGTATAGTTGAGGAAAATATTAGATAATTTTTATCTTAGACTAGCATTCACATTGCAATTTATGTCACAGAAATCAGGACTCACGGTCAGTGAATGTATTCTGTGTAAATGTGTGAAGAACTGCAATTAGCCATTTTGGTGGCAGAGACTCATTTGGCTCCAGTCAATGCAAACAGGCATGTTTTTCGATACTTTCAGTAGATCAGTAAGAAGGAAGAGTCTGCCTAATTTAGCCTATCATTTCATTTCAAAGATTATATCCAGGCTTCTGAGCATGGATGATAAAGTTTTCATTACAAATTGTTTATGGTAATGATAGTTTGATGGTAGGGTTTGAATGGGAGAAGACTAATGTCAAATCAAGGACAAGATGGTATGTTAGATGCTATATCAGGGTCCAGAATGAAGACAAAAACCAGACAACACTTAGAAAATGTATAATTTAATATAAATAATCATCAGCATTGGAAGCAAGGTAGTGAGGAAATTGGCTAATAAGAACTCACCAGAATTACACATACTCTAGTAGAATGGATACAAGGAACAAAGAACAATGTGATGGGGCCACCAAGCAGCTCTCGTTTCGTTCTTTTATACATACAAAGTTATGGAAGTGTATTATTTTTAACACTTGAAAAAATCTGCCCTCCCCATCACCAGAACGTCCTTTCATATGAAGATGTTGCAGAAGGAAGAGGGTGTCACTGCTATGCCTGACAGTTGTAGAGGCTTTCTACATTCATGTCATCTGTATATCAGTAAGAGTCAGTGACAGGAGATTTTCTCAGCATGAGATTGCATGTGCAGCTTTCCAGATTATTTATGTGGAACCTTTAAGGCACATGTACATTCTCAGGGCAGAGTGCATATAGGAGAAGCTACCCCAGACAGTGTTCTGTTTGTTATGTGTGTGGGTCTTCTGGCTTAGCCATTGTCACAGAGGACAGGTGGAGAGCACCCTCGGTGTGTCAGTGTGGAAGAGAGTTGTGAACAGCTGGGAATCACTCTCAGAGAAAGAATGAAGGACCATAAAATGGAACAAAATTTTATCTTTTAACACCACCCCAGCAAATTATAAAGAAACCAGCTAGTGAAAGTCTCCTTCTTCCTGTCTTCCTTCACTACCATCAACTGACAAGAATTAGCATTGTACCAGATGGCAAAAGAAAAAAAAAAAAAAGCTAATGTGTCCACACCATTATCATAGAAGACAAAAGGAATGTGAAACAGAGTCAGCAAATCAAAATGAGCCAGGCACTACTATGAATGGATATTGACTAATCTTATATAACTGCGTCTGTATGTTTATCAAATATGCTTGATGATGGCCTATCCAGGAAATTAAAAGAGAGAGAGTGAATTACCTGTCAGACCTTATTTCTCCTTGGTCAAAGTTTACCTCACAGCTTCCTAATTTCCTCCACACATCTGGATTATACATGAATAAACAATAAGCAGTCATACTGGAGGTCTTTCAGTGTTAGCTAGGAAGAACTCAACAGGCATAAGGTGCTTGTACATTATGAGTTTTCAAGTGCCACTGTCCTTATCCAGCTGATGATTGGATATGTATTAGTTACTTTTACTGTTGCTTGACCAAGTACCTGAAGAGTTCAACTTGAAGATATATTTTTTCTATTTTTTTTATTGGATATTTTATTTACATTTCAGATGTTAACCCCTTACCACATTTCTCTCTACCTCACCCAGGAACCCCCTATCCCATCCCCCTCCTCCTGCTTCTATGAAGATCTATTTTGACTTACATTTCTGGTGATAGTATCCATCAAATAGGGAAGACACTGTGATAGAAGCATGAGACAATTTGGTTGCATCTTATCCACAGCTAGGAGGCAAAGATAGATGAAGGCTGTCACAGAACCAGCTTCGTTTCCCCCTTTATTGACTCCAGAATCCCAATTCATAAGATCTGAGTGCCCAGATTTAGGGCTGGACTTCCCCCTCAATTATGGAAACAATGTCATAGACACACTCAAAGGTATATCACTCAGCAGTATCATAAGTTTTAATGTAATTACATTGACAGTAGAGCTCTGGGTGCTGCCCAGAGTGATTGGGAAATAATGTAAAATTATTTGTTATTGATCCTCTAAGAAATAAGGAAGTAAACTCAAAGCATGTAGGGTCACAGATCTGCTCAGATCACCATGAGACATCTGAGTCATTATTCCCACTCTCATGGTAATCCATGCATGGTCTTTGTTGTTTTTGACATTTTTAATCTAATATATTTTTCTTGTTTGAGAATTTCACAATACATATGTATGTTTTATTGAAATAAAATACACCCATTTTCTTCCCTCCAATTTCTCTCCTGCTTTCCTTCTCAATTTTATGTGTTCTTGATTTTTGTCTTTAGCCCACTGAGTCAATTTAGTGCTACTACTGTTGAGTGACTATAGAAACACTTACTGGAGCATCTTTCAGGGCCTGCATCCCTTAAGAAAAATATTCTTCCTTCCCTAGCAAGCATCAATTGCCACTAGCTTCTCAGGGCGTGGGACCTCATGAGTTTACTCCCTCATTCATGCTGGAACTTTAACTGGCTTAATCTAGCACTCTAGTCCTGGGGAACCTATGCCCTCTTCTATGCTTGTTGTGCCCAGACACACATGAAGGCAAAACACTCATACACATAAAATAAATGAATATGAAAAGAAATAAGAGCTAGGTATGACAGCATGCTTTTGTACTTCAAAACCCAGGGATTTCGAGACAAGTGGTTCCATGATAGCCAACCTCGGCTATATAAAGATTTCAGGTCACTGAAAAACCCTGTCAGAATGGAGAACAGTGTCTCAAAGAATGATAGTGCGCATTCTTCTGTGGCATCTACACATGCCCACACATGTGCATGCACTTGCACAGAGAGGTGTATCTACATACATACAAATGCACACACTTATGGAAAGTGAGAGTGAGAGGTTTGCCAGGGGAGAGGCAAAGTACTACCTTTGAATATGTGTGGTTTTCAAACTTTATAGTTTTAGCTTTACTTCAATATTTTAAATTATATGTTCATCTCCCATTTAGATATGTTTAACATTAAGTTAGAAGTTGAGAATCCATTTATTGTTTTCACACAGATTTTATTTTTCCTCAGCAAAATTGTCATTGACTCACATTGACTCCTCTATTAATAGTTAATTGCATACTTGGAACTACTGTTCATTTCTTAATCAATTTTAGTTATAAATTGATTTGTCTTTATATGAATCCAAGGTCAATTTAGTGAAATACTCGACAAATATTTTGAAGGATTTGTTTGTATAAACAATTAATTAAAACCCTGTTTAGAATCCTATCAAGCTAGATGGAATATAGTAATTTATAGATGCAGACTTGTCATGATAAATAAAACATTTATTATATTATTATGACAACACTTCTATAACAAAGTACACAGAGCAGTTTGAATAATATAATTTTTTGTGCCACAATTCTGGAATGTGAAGTTAAAGATCACAGTGTCAAGATAGTTTATTTCTTTTCTGGCCTTGAAAATAGAATTTGTTCCTTGTTTTGCTTCTGGCTTTGATGCCTTGAAGGAAATCTTTGATTTCAGATGTATCAACTTGCTTTCCTTGTCTGCATAGTATGAATACTGTGTGAATATCTGTGTTAAATTCAATTCTCTGTCTATACAAGGTGTCCTGGTACATTGGAGGAGTGGTTCACTGTAGGTTGATTCAGTATTTCTTTTCTGTGACTTAAGTTAATATGCAATGACCCGTCTCTGAGAAAAATCACATTTAGGAGCATTAGGAATTAGAATCTATATGTATTTGCATTTTATGAGGGCTCAGTTCACTAATAACAATTCTTCAGCTAGGGTTCATCCATTTTTCTTGGCATTTGTTTGCAGTATGTATGTCACCTCAACAATGTCAACAACAAAGTATTCTTTGAAATTATATGATGACATATTATAGATACAAACATTTCCCTTTGATCCATATATGATTTTATTGAAACATGATACAGAGCCTTAGATGACAGAAAGATGGTGAGAGTGTCATGCCTAATCACTAGAGGTGGGAAGCAATGACTGAGACAGGGAGTTCAAGTCCAAGATAGTGGCTGTCACTATGTTCCTGGAGAGAGTTCTACCATCTCTACATTGATGCTGAACATACTAACAGAACTATCTTCAGTGATGAGCAGTAAAGACAAATA